AGTTTTGTATTAATTCACCTGGAGTTTGTACCTTTGTCTGAGTATAACTTCAATTTCCTATACCTAACGAGTTTCACTTTGTGATATACGAGCTAAGTTTATTCCGTTCATAACGTCGGAAATTGAACTGAAATTGGAATAGTCAGCTTTGGAGTGTGTCATTCAAAAACCGCTACAAACTTTCATAAAACCCATTAGAATGAATTTAGTTTGGCGAAGTAGTGGTTTGTTTTTTCATCAGACTAATGATGTTCGTGCAGCTCGTGCGTAGGGATTCATATACCAGGTATGCTGAATAATATATTGGAAAAAGTGTGATATTGGTCACTTAATGGGATGTGTAAAAAGCAGCTGTTAGTATCTAACAGAGACAGCGATTCCTAGAATATTAAAATGCTCTTGGTAGCCAGGTATGATGTCGTTTAGAATTCTCTTTAAATTTCATTTTATAGCATTTTGAAAATTTGCATACCAGAACAAAGTCAAGTAGCTGCTCATTTATTACTTAGCTGATGTAGTATTCAAACTGATAGCCCCTGCATTTATACAATGCTATGGATTTTGTGTGTAATGTGACTTTTGGATAAATCAAATCAAATCAAAATTTCCTATGAACAACGCAAAATGGAGTGAGCAGATTGACCATTGCCCAATTGTCTCAGAAGATGCAGAGGAAAACAAACAAGTTCTGGAATTATCTTTCTTTGACAAATTCGGAAAAACCACCATGAGTATATCTGATTCAGTTTCATTAAATTTAACTTCAAATTCCTCATTCCGTTGGTCTAATCATGGGAAGAATCATTGCATCCGTGATTACTGGAAAGAAAACAGCGGTGGCGAACGGATCACCAACAGTTACAACACAATTAAATCAGTGATACATTCCTCAGTCAGAACCCTTGGTCTTAATGGGTTGAAAAATATCAGCAACACCTGTTTCATGAACAATGTAATCCAATGTTTATCAAATACGAGATGGTTAATAGAATATTTTGAAAAGGATGAGTACATGAAAGATATCAATACTAATATTTGTAGTACGGAGGGTGCTTTAATCAGAAGTTATCAAAGAATTGTGGTCAGAAGATTCATTTGATAGTGCAGTGAACACAGTCTTCTTATAAAGTCAGATTCAGAGTTTTGCCCCTCGATTCATGGGTCTGCGCATCAAGACGCTCATGAGTTCCTTCGTTATCTTTTAGAAGGTTTACATGATGACGTTGATAGAATTATTGAGAAACCTAAACCGACCTTGACGGAAATTAACGAAAAATTGTGTTAGGAATCACACGTTAAAAAATAAGACCTCATTGGTCCTTAGCTCGCACAAGTTACTCAACTTCTGAGAGTTGTCGTTCGTATGGGGGCGACAGCGGAAAAATAGATTTTAGACAGATAGGAACAGAATTGAGCGACAGAGGAAAAGCGCAAGAGTCATGGCTGATTTATATGAGTACATATAACTCTAAGAATGTAGATAATTTCGTTGGTCAATTAAAATCCACGATGAAGGATGGAGAGCTCTGAAAATACACCAATTGCATTCATTAGTTTGGTAATTATATTGTGAAAAAATTAAAATACTCACGTGAAATTCGACTATGTCTATGAAATGNTAATTTCAAACACAAAATATTTGACGAATCGTCTGTCTGCCCACGCCACGCCGCACCAGCGTGTACAGTGTACAGTCATACAGGGACGTCTTACAGTCAAGGGGAGGATATTCCCAAGTCTCTTAAAAGAGTGTTGCTTTTAAATGAAGAAAGCACAGTAGAAGAGTGTGAAACTAATGACATCGCAATAGTTTTCCATTTTATAAGTAATGTATTTTTGAGGCTGCAAGCAGCTGAGTTAAATGAAATAATGGTTGAGTTAGTCAAGAAATACGAAAATAGAATAGAAGACAGTTTTTACTGATCTTTTTTTGGAAAGGTAATGAAGAAATTAGATGAAGGCAAAAGAAAAAGTTCAAGCAGTGAATTCAAGCTTGATGATAGGGTATCCCTAGACGATTTATACGATGAATTTTCGTCAGTAAAAGACTGCATTGAAGTCCTTGTAGCAGAAAAGGAGATGAGCGTGGGGAGTAAATGGAAAAAGCTATTTCAAAAGAGCCCCGAGCTGCCAAAAGTATTCAAGGTTGTCTCATTTTGCTTGAGCATTCCACCATCAAATGCGTTCGTGGAAAGGATTTTTTCACATATGAACTTGAAGTGGACCGACACACGAAACAAATGTTCTGCACAATTAATAAAAGCTGAACTGATTGTAACTATTACCTCTGCGTTCACAAGCTGCAGTGAATTTTTTGACAACATGAAGAAAAATCCGAATATGAAAAAATAGTCAGTGCAGTAGGTTAGGTTAGGGACCCTCCACCGCCACCTGCAAAGGTTTATTGTGGCTCACACATATTCTCGCTCGGCCGAACAAACCCAGCTTCTTTAAGAAGCCGATTAGTTTGTATGGTGAGTGGTCTTTCAGGTCAGATGGTAAGAGTTCGGCTCTGCACGTCAGCTACACCTGACGATGCCTCAGATTTAGCCGTGCAGGGTTTTTTCGCCTCTGGATTTGGTGAAACCTCACTTGAGCGCAAACGTTTGCTAACCTGCTCATGGGGAGTTAGTTCCCCCACCTGAGACAGAATCTGCGTACGCCGCAGCTTTCGCTCCTGAACTAAATTTACAGGGACGTAAATTGGAGTCGTAAACTCGACATCCATCTCCTCTGTAGACTCGCTCCTGAACTAAATTTACAGAGAGGTCCGTTGGAGTCGTAAACTCGACATCCATCTTCTCTGTAGACTCGCTCCTGAACTAAATTTATAGAGAGGTCCGTTGGAGTCGTAAACTCGACATCTATCTCCTCTGTAGACTCGCTCCTGAACTAAATTTATAGGGAGGTCAGTTAAGAGTCGTAAACTCGACATCCATTTCCTCTGGAGACTCGCGCCTGGATTAAATTTTACAGGAAGATCAGTTGGAGTCGTAAACTAGACATCCATCTCCTCTGTAGACTCGCTTCTGATCTAAGTTTACAGGGAGGTCACTTGGAGTCGTAAGCTCGACATCCACCTCCTCTATAGACTCAGCGTCAGAAAGTTTACTCTGTCCATAAAGGTCCCACGAGTAGCTAGGGAAAGAAAGTTAATCACGGCAGAGCCCCGCATTACCGTGACAAGGCGATGCTACGACGAAAGGGGGCCCGGTATCTCGAAGGTTCCGTAGAGACAGCTGATAGGCTCAATGTCATTCATCCTCTTGGCACGGATACACACACCTTAGGATTAAGCCATCGTTGGGATACCATTCAGTTAGGGAATAACAGAACCACAAGTGATTCTGTCAACCGAATGTATCGGGGCTTCGGGGGATAGGGCCTGACCAGCGCACACTACGGGGATAATAATATATTTCAATTCCAGTTACATTCATTCATTTTCGACTACCACTCATTTTATTAAAAATGTTATTATTATGCTATTGTATAATTGATGAATCTGAAATAAATTATCAATTTTTTTTTATTATTGAGATTCCAAAAGGCCAGCTTTGCTTGCTTGATCATCTCTTGAAATAATCACAGAATTACAAGATGAAAGATTACAAGATTGACAAAAAAAAAACAATTCTAATGTATACATACGATCAATGAAATTTTCAATGAAACCTACCAAATTTGAACCTGTAATCTGCCAGTCGATACTGAATTCAAATAACTTATGTATATAGTTACTATATTTACTGATAAGTTATGAAAAAATTTAATAGGAATAAAAAAGAACCGCATGCTAGTCATGCTAGAATAACTTTCTTTTAAATCATCTCACAAATTTATGCTGCATATTAACAAAAAACAGCAAGCGACCCCCGGACTATTGATTTTGAATTTACCTTCATCGATATATGTATGTAGTATGTTTTTTATTTGTTTTTCATGAAATATAATCACATAGTTCTAATATCTCTTCCAAATGATATTCATCTGAAAGAAAGTGTAACATGCTTCCTGAGGTTTGCTACATATCAAGTTTTTTACCTAATTTTACACCGTAAAATCGTATTATTGAGGTTGAATTTGAGATTAACATCAATTCATTTGAAGAGACAACTTTTGAATGANGTTTCAGAGATATTTGCAAGAAATTCAACCATTTTTTTCTACTCAGTTATTAATAACTATAAAGTTATTAGATGTTGAATGATTCCTCGATTATAATTATTTTTGTTGGAGATTAGGTTTTCGATAAAACAGCATTTGTGAATCAGACTGTGATTCTGTAATAATGTTTATGTCACTGTCCTATATCTAGATCGCTTGCACAAGATTCCATAACTTCTGCTCCTTCAATGAAACCGTTTCTCGTCTTGAACCAATGCTCCTTCTATCCATTCTTTTTCGCGCACGTTCACGTAAAATCATACGAGGTGAAGATCACGTGCGGCTTTGTAAGACTCGTTTACGATAATCTCGGTGTGCGTTGAAATCATCACGTGGTCGTCGCTGTCACAAACCGCCGGCATACTCGAGACCTAGCCTACGAAATACACAGTTTCGAACGAGCATTTCCGTTGGACGACACACGTTCGCGAGACACTGAGGTCTGTGAGGTTTTTCGATATAAGCTCGACTTTTCCTTGGTGTACAGGTTTCGCGCTACCTTTTTCGATTTTGCGCTTCCCTTTTCCGGTTTTGCGTTACCCTTTTCCGGTTTTGCGTTACCCTTTTCCGGTTTTGCGCTACCCTTTTTTGGAAAAGTGTTCGGTTGACGAACGCTTTTACAAACTGGAACCGTAAATTTGCTTTTCAGTGGTTTGGAATGCCAAGATGAAATATACTCGTCGTCTCAGTACTCGACAGTAAAAGCTGAAAACAATAATTCGGGCCATTCTAGCCCTATATCTGTCGTTGTATCGGACTTAGTGATATCGTCGGTTGTGAACAACGACAATAATAATAATAATGAAGTGACTGAAAGTAGAGGTGATAGTAAACAACGGATTTCGTCAACTGCCAAACTATTTGGCGACAGTATAGAGACTGGAGGTCCGAATAGACCTCAGACTGCTACCAGCAAGATTTTTGGACCGAGGACGGAGGATATGAACAAAGGATTCTTGGCTTTCACGGGACAGGAGTCCCGTCTTACAAGTAAGTGTTTTTTCATTATTTGTTTTTATTAATGTTGCAATTAGTAATTCTTTGCGTTTCACATATCAATCAGTTACGAAAAGGAAATTTTACACTGAACTGAAATAAATATAAGGTTTACTTTTGCTGGAACAACAAGCGCCATCATTTTATGGCAATTAAATACATTTTCTGTCAAAACGTTCAACTTCAATAGAGCAATATACTAATTTTTATTTTGATAAATTCTGTTACATAGAAATAGATCTCATATTTGTTTTTATTAACACTGAAAAAAATGTTCTTGAAATGTAGTTATTGACATTCAAGTTTTCATCTTCAATTAATATGGAAATGATGTAACCCACAAAACTGACAGAAGACAGTGTTTAGTCAAGAGTTTTATGTCAAGCCAGAAAAATGAAATACTGAGACATTACGCTATCGCATTCAAAAATTAGAAGTTACAAAATAGACTTTCCGAGGAAGGAACAATATTGAAACTACAGAATTTGAGCATGTAGAATTGAATCAGTGTAGTTGATCATTTTTATCAAGCATTCATTTTTTGAATGACTGATTTTGAGAATCACCAACTTTTTGATGCTCGATAAGAATTGTTTAAGAATTGTATCGATGAACAAAATTTTATCAAATTGTGATTATTAATATTCAGTTACACCCAAAAACGTAACTCGAATTTTTAAATCCGATATTCTGTATTGAAATAGTATTGATGAGCGGATAGGTTGAATGGGATAATGCCTCAAGCCCCCAATTATTTTGTGATCATTTTATTGAAAGAGTTTTGACAACAACATAGATATCCAAAATCAGTTTTGGCTTAGATGGACTTAATCATCAAGTAACATTTAAAAAATATTGTGTGTTATTTTAAAATTAACAATGTTTGGAATATTGTTCATATGGNATCCGCCAGCACTCCCTTGTCGCCGAGTCAACTGATGTGACGTCAAGCTTGACCACATTCAACTATTGATTTGAGGGGGAAGATAAAGAGTGAAATTCCAGATTTTTTGCAGATGTACTATTTGAAACATAAACTTTCAAATAATGAAATAAAATGAATGAGCCCATTCAAGTAATAAAAACGGTACCTTTGGATTACAACTACAAAGTATAAAATAGCTAAAAAGTCGAAAGCAACAAGTATTCCATTCTTTACACTGATATATCTTGCTAACGGATAACCAAATTCCAAACTGTCACACCTCCTGATGAAAAAAATAATTGAAAAACTTAAGGTTTTTTCATTTACTAATCACAGAGAAGTGAATTTACTGTTATTTGTAAATGTAATTGTTGTCAAAGGCTAGATCAATTAGTAATTTCATAATAATGTAAGGTATATGTTAGCATAATGAGTAATTACTTATACTTACACTGATATTTTGTTTAATTTCCCTTTCATTAGAGTCAAATTCAATTTCTGTACTTTCTAATGATAACATTTTCACTATCTTCCTAAAGAAACAAAATATTATATTCACTATCCAGTCTTTTAATCAATATCCGACGTATCTTCAAAACGTTTTTGAGACTTAATCTTTTTAATGCTTTTTAATGCAGGAGTTCAATCCGTTATCATTTTATTATGAAATATACTGTCAGAGATATAACTACAATAACTAAATATTGTGTATTGACCGTAGATAAGAGTATTACTCTGATTATATATTTTTCACGTTATGCAATTGTCGACTAAATATAAAATCTTTTTTGATGAAATTTCTAATCCTTCGGGAACTTTAAAACATTATATTGTGAAATGTACAAGGTATATGATGGAATTGGTCGATGAAAATCCATAACTAACGTATTCAAAAAACACTTTATTGTGAGATTTTCACTAAACAGTTTTACAAAAACGCAACACGTGTTTCGCCATACAATGGCTTCTTTGGGCGTGTCTTCACTAACTATATTCTATATATTTAATGCCTTGCTTTACATTGAATATGTAGAATAATCAATTACAATTCCTTCAGAAAGCCTAAAACAATTAAATTTCTGGGAAAGTTCCCGGTGCCGTGAAGGATCGAAAGTTTTTAACATATCTTAAAGCAATTCAAAATTTTTCGTCATTTTCCTGAAAGCTAGACCTCCAACGGAGATAAATAGAGGAATGCGAGTAGGTTCTCGTTCCTTATTGTTGACCAGATCGTGAAATGTAAAATGAAGACTCCTAATATAAGAGAGATTGTGACCCTCATTCAGTAAGAATGTTTATATTGAATAAGTGTCGGTTTTTTAATTCCTGATAATAACTTCAGAAGGTGTCACTTGAACTATCCTACAATGAGTTCATTATAAGGACATCTCGGAGAGTTGTTTTTGTTTTCTAGTGGAATATTGTGGGCAGAAACCACAGATACCTGTAAGTTGTTTCTTTTCTCTTTTTCTCTTGGACTAGTTTTCATAAGTGGACGATACTTGATGAAAATATATAACTAACGTATTCACAAAAACTCTTTACTGTGAGATTTTCACTAAACAATTTTACAAAAACGCAACACTTGTTTCGCCATTCAATGGCTTCATCGGGCGTGTCTTTACTAACTAATTCTACATATTCAATGCTAAGGATAATGAAGTGAGCAGAAAGAGGTAGAACGGTTATTGCAATACATTAAAATTACTACGTAGGAAAAACTCTATATTTCCTTAATTCAGGGTGCTACAAGATTCTGAGAAATGACCCTACAACTATGTACCAGAAAAAGGTTAAGGAAACAACAATGGAAATGTATAGCATTGATCATGAATCCACAACCACCAAAACTGTATTCTCTTATTAAATTACACAAAACCAATTTCCCGATTAGACCTGTGGTGTCGTTTGTAACGGCACTTACCGTAAAAATCTCAAAAATTCTTATAAAATGGATTCAAACCTATACTAATTTCAAGCCGATATTTAGTATAAATAATTTTTATCAATTAGTGGATAATATTAAAAACGTAATTTTATTCCCAGTATTCCGCCAATTGAAAGAAAGAATTGGACTAGTTGAGTGTCTCTTAGACAAAAACCACGTAAATCCATTGATAAAACAGACAATTTTAGATTTACTTACTATTTGTCTATCTCAAAATTATTTCCAGTTTGACGAAAAATTCTATTCATGCAGTGAAGGACTAATAATGGGGAACCCTTTGAGTCCCTTGCTGGATAACAGAGTATGAAATCCATCTTAGTATCTTAGTTTGTTTTACTGGTACAGGTATACAATTGGCAAGTTCATCGAATATGCCAATTCCATCCATCCGTCATTAATATTCACCACTGAGAGGGAGGTAAATAATTCATTAAATTACCTTGACTTAACCATTACGAAAAATAACAATAAACATGAATTTGCAATTTGCCACGAACCATCGTACACGCACATTATTATACATAATTCCTCCACACACCCTATCAGCATAAAGTTGCTGCATTCAATAGTATGCTTCACAGATTATTCAATATTTCACTGTCTGATAGGGATTTCCAGAGAGCGCTGAGTTTGATCAAACAGATCGCGGTTAATAACGTTTATAAGGTAGATATTATAGACTCCACTCTTTCAAAAAACTGCAAAAGCAAGCCATGAACCTGGTCTATTCAAATTCAAGATGCGATAACGTCAGTTATAGGACATTGTCATATTTGGGTGAACCAACCAAAAATATTGCCCCTTTTTTGAAGAAAGAATGCGTAAACGTAGCTTACAGAACGAATAATGATCTAAGTAAATTTATTTAAAACAATAAAGACAAAACTTTGTTGTCGGATAGATCAGGAGTATATAAGCTNAGTTAAGACACATTCTATAATTTATGATTTATTAGTTTTTTAATTCACTTGTCGAAATAAAAAAAAAGAAACATAATTTGGAAATCATTAGTTAAAGTTCGTTAGTTTATAGTTTATTAGCTTTTGAATAATTCAATTGTCGTCGAAATAAAAAAGAAGCCTAATTTTGTAGTGATTTTTATTTAAACAAATGATGAAAATTAAAAAAATATCACTTTGGGTCGCGATTTAAAACATGATTTAAATCACTCCAACCATGTCAGAAAGTGATCACTTCAGTTATTAATATATTGGTAGATATATAATTGTAATATGTATTTTGGTAATTCGTGATTAGGCCTCTCAGGTATTGCAATGAGTCAGGAGGAGTGCGGTAGCCTTCGTTTTTTATGTGTCCCTACAAAAAAATCTAAAGGGCTCAAATCGGAAGACCGAGGGAGCCACTCGTAGGCACCCTTTCGTCGCATCCTTCCTATCCAGTGACAGGTAATTTAATCGAAACAGCATTTCCTCTTCAGCTTGCCAAATGTCAAGGTGTATTCAGAATCAAATTTCTAGAGCAGTCCAGAATAACCGAGAGTAACCGAGAAAGAACAACCCAGAACATCCTGAAATGTTCGTGGGTAGTCTGAAACGTTCGTCTGAAACAAGTCGTTGATTCGATTTCCACATTCTTTATGTTCAAAATGAAATTCAAATATTTCCCCCCTTTCCGGAAACACTTCACCACATTTTACAAGCAAGAGTGTGCCTAACTGAATTTTTTGGCAAGGTTTATTTTGGTATTCGCTGAAAGGCAAACGTTACGAAGGAATTTATCTCTAACATTTAGTCATTGTTCAAAATCTCTAACTAATTAAATTTTTACAAAAATGTTTTATATCTTTTCAGAAATCCATTTGTTTTACATTAGAGGTCTTATTTTCAAAAACGAAACAGCAATAGGAAAATCAAAGCTTTTTTCAATATTACGTTCATTTCTTTCAAAAAATTTGGGGGACGACAGTTCTTCTTAGATCATTGAAGGTTTTGCATTGGTTTTTGGAATAAAATTCATCCTCCTGACAAACAAAATGATATGGTTTTAGATCTTCACGAAAAGTTACTTCCATAGCAGTACTGCCTTGGAGCACGTTTACGATTCTCCCCGTCTGCATGTGTATGTTCATTCATAATAAAAAATTTATCGTTTAATTCGTCT